TATTATTATTATTATTATTATTATTATTATTATTACTATGAGTTGTTAATTGTCTTATTAAAAATATAAATATCACTTAAGTGCAACATGAATAGAAAAATAAATTCTCGATAGACAGTAAAATGCACACATTGCCATGTGTAATTTCATTTTTTACAAAATTAATATATTTTATTTTTTTAATTTTCAAATTAATTGTTGGGCTTTGGTGATTATGTTGATTTGATGTTGTAGTTGAAATTTGAGTTGGATGTCCGGGCATTGAGAAAGTCCCCTTTCAGAGGTAAAAGGCCACAGGAAGATATCGTCTGTGATCCATTTTGTTGAAAAATGAGCTGGATGCTCGGGCATTGAGAAATTCCCCTTTCAGAGGTAAAAGGCCTTAGGAAGATATCGTCTGTGATCCATTTTCTTGAAATTTGAGCTCTGGAAAATTGGTGATAAAATGAGCTTCTCTTGTTTAGTATTAGTTTCCTGGTTAGGTTCCTATGCGCTTGAAGGAGGTGCTCTCATGTTTGGTCCACGTCAGCACATAAAGTGTAAACAAATAAGCAAGAAAAATTGAGAAAATTATGATCCAAGTCTATTAGGAAAAAATATTTACGCCACATAGTTCATATTTTGAGTTGGTTATCCGATTTAGCTCATATTTGTGTATTACCTTTTATATATTATCACTTCTTTTGCAAATTGTACATTTAAACCATCTATTGTCCATTTTTCTATCTAAATATTCATAATCTATGTATTATAACACATCTCGAAACTAACTAATTCAACTATCAGTTGTGAAGAGGCTAAATGAAAAACCTTTAAATGGAAAAAGAAACAATTGATGATTAGGATGTAAAACTCAGTTAAAAAATAATAGTTCAAATATATTATTTTGACTTTACCTTCAATAAATAATGAATTTTGCATGTAAGATAAAGACAAGAGACCAACATATACATATATTTAAATGTAGCCTAATATTAGAGTAGGTAATCTCCCAATAAATAGGAAACTTATAAGGTTACATATTTATTATCTTTGCACAAACTTTGCAAACACAACATTATTTAAAATGCTTGAATAAACACGAAGATATATCAAACAATTAATAGTTTCCTTATGTTATATGCATTGAGCAAATAAGGACCCAACTTTAACACAATTTGAACACATAAAGCCTTCTTTGCAATCATTACGGTCCCTGCAATTCATCCCACAAGTAGTAATATCACCAAGTCCAAGTAATTTTCCTTTCATCTCCACAACATTAACCGGTAAGTCTCGTAGTGCCATCACTTGCATCTTATTTGGAGCCCAAGAGAGATTAACTGCACATTTTAAACGTAACAATAATTATACTATTAATATATATACATTGATATTCTGTATAAAGATATCAATTGTCTAAGTATTTATAACAGACTAAAAAAGAAGATAAAACATCGAAAGAAATATATACTAATTAAATGGGAGCAGAGTGGTAAAAGTTTAGAACCTAAAATTGCAACAAAGAGAGCAATGAAGAGAAAAGCTTGCTTAAATGTGGCCATCTTAATTATTATTTTTTGTAAAATATTGATGCTTTGCTCCCTTTATGGAAGGCTTGTATTTATAGGCCTAAATTAATCAGTATTGAGACTTGTACGAAAATGACAAAATGGTCACTTAAGTATATTTTTGAACAGTTTTGTCCTTTACATTTGCAAAAGTGAGAACATTTGATCTATGCCAAATATCTAGCAAGCTCTAGTTATTAGATTTTGTGAGAACAATGAAAAAAATTAAGGATTTAACAAGAACTATTAAAAAAAATAATCAAATACTCGAACTTCATAGATAATAGGACTTTTTGATATCCGTCCTTAAATAGGATCAACAACGAATTTTTATTGTTTAGCTATACATAATTTACCATTGCTAATTCTTTCTTTCTTTTAGAAGTGAACTCACATTTGGAAATGCAAAGTTTTTGCAGTTACTCTGAAATAACAAATAATCATTTATATTATGACTGATATGATAACTTGAAATAAAATAATCACTTCTTAATACGAGTTAACTTGAACTGATAGTATATCAATATATATAATTTTAGTTCGTAGTAAAAAACTATTCTTCAATATGCCCTTATATTATATAGAATATTCAATTAAGTCATTCGTTATACTTTTTGATCCATCTGGACTCATGTCATATCAAACCATCTAGTATTTTCTTTTTATTTTTTTTATGATGATTAACAGAGTTTCAATACGAAATGGATGAACTCCATGTGTCTAAAATGTTCGATCCTTATTTTACCTTTTTTGTAATTGTATCACCACTAATGCTCAAAGCAACTTTAGTTCTTTCTTCATAAGTCATAATTGTTAGGTGTAGTTATCTTTGCAGTGACATCTATCCAACTTTCTTTAGTCTCTTTTTGAAATTTTATGTAAAAAATACTAAAAAGTATGAAAACTATGTCTACTTTATTAAAGGGAAAAAATAAATATTACTCAATTTTACGATTTAAAATGGATATATTAATTTTTGAAAGTAGTGTATGTATATCCTCGTTGTATAATAAATAGTATAGCTATACAGTGTTGAAAAGCAAGTGTGAGTACCAAAATCAATATCAATTCATTTTCATAAAGTTTTGGACTAGCAGCTAAAGTTAACACACCACAAGACTAGGGGTATAATTGTCCTTCTCCCTTTATCGAAAGAATTTTGCTAAATCATATCCTCATTTTATTTATTAGATTAAAAACATCTTTAACTTTATTTTATGATATAAAAAAAAAATACACTCAGAAGTACCTTCAAATACTCATTTTCAATTCAACCAAAAATATCTTCCAAATCTCGAGTACTGATATTCATAATTAATCAGAGTACAATTATGTACAATTCAGAGCACTCTTCTTCTAACTAGTACAACTCTCACACTTACAAATCTTCAAATTCTATACACTCTTTTTCTTAGTGAAAATCGTGAACATTCAAACACACTTAGAAGTACCTCCAAATAGTCCCTTTCAATTCAACCAAAAATATCTTCTAAATGTCGAGTATTGATATTCATAATTAATCAGAGTACAAATATGTACAATTCAGAGCACACTTCTAACTAGTACAACTCTCACACTTACAAATTTTCAAATTCTATAAACTCTTTTTCCTAGTGAAAATCGTGAACATTCAAACACACTTAGAAGTACCTCCAAATACTCCCTTTCAATTCAACCAAAAATATCTTCCAAATGTCGACTATTGATATTCATAATTAATCAGAGTACAAATATGTACAATTCAGAGCACGCTTCTAACTAGCACAACTCTCACACTTAATTACAAATCTTCAATTTCTATACACTCTTTTTCCTAGTGAAAATCGTGAACATTCAAACACACTTAGAAGTACCTCCAAATACTCCTTTTCAATTCAACCAAAAATATCATCCAAATATCGACTATTGATATTCATAATTAATTAGAGTACAAATATGCAAAATTCAGAGCACGCTTCAAACTAGCACAACTCTCACACTTACAAATCTTTAATTTCTTATAAACTTTTTTCCCTATAGAAAATCGTCAACATTCAAACACACTCAGAAGTACCTCCAAATACTCATTTACAATTCAACCAAAAGTACATATCCACCGAATATCGATTATTGATATTCGTTAATAATCACCACAAAATATGCAAAACTCGGAGCACGCTTCAAACGAGTACAACTCTCAATATATTTCCCTTTCTTATTAATTCTCAACAAGGTGGTTTGAACCCCATGTACTTCCCACTTGTGTAATCCCTCCAAACATCAACAGCTCCAAAACTTGTTATAAGAACAGTACTTAATGCCATGACTATTCCAACTGAAAAAACAATAAGTGATGCTCTCCCATGATGTTCAATGGCTCTTTGTACCACAACTAATCCAATAAGTGAGGCAATTAAACAAACAATTGCAAAAATGAGGGCTGTATTGACATGTTCCATTCCTAGAAATAAGTATTGTACAGCTGACATGGTAGAGGAGAAAAATACCATGAATGAACAAGTTGCCGCGGTAATCTGTTTAAAAAAGAATGTCATTATTAGTCCTACTAAGCAAAGAAAAAAGAATTAACCTAAATAGTCATCCACAACAACAACAATAACAATAATATATCCAGTGTAATCTCACAAGTCAGGTTTGAAGAGGCCGGATAAGATATACGCGGACCTTACCCTCTACATTTGTGAAGTAGAGAGGTTGTTTCCTATAGACTCTCGCTTCAATAGCCGTCCATTCAACTGCTTAAACTAAAAGTAGCCGGCAGATATATAAATCATATATATTTTGTGTATAATGGCGTATAATCATATATGGTTAACTATATGGATGGATACTAACTTCTACTTTATTACACTATAATTACTAAACTATTCTTTATAATAAAAAAACAGCTAACTTTACCTAAGTATTACTAAACTCACTAAACTATTTTTATAACTAAAAAGTCATTCAATTTTATCGTAGGTATTACAAAAAGTCACTAAAAAGAAAAAAGACATTTTATATGATATTTCTCCAAAATTGAATGACATTTTGATTGCAAAAAATTGCCCAGTGACTTCATGTGATACCTTAGGCAAAGTTCAGTTTTTTTTCTCTTTATATATAAAAAATAATAATTTAATAACTTCCAACGATACTTAGGCAAAATTGAGTGAACTTTCAGTTAGCTTAGTGACTTTAATGTAATAAAGTAAAAGTAAACACCAAATAAAATGACTCACTCAGAAAAAATATATTACTTTTTTAAAATGACTTATGTCAGACCAAACAAACCTTAATATGAAATAAAACGAGATTCTAAAATTGAAAAAAATCAACAAAAATAGAAGAGTAATAGAGAATTACTTCAGGTGTTATTCCAACTTGAATTAAAAGGGGGCTAATAAGCATTCCTCCACCAATTCCAAATACACCACCCAATACTCCTGCTAGAAGTGCCATTAATGGGAAAATGAACATTCTTGAAGGTCCATTATTCTTTGTTTCACATGTTATTTCCTACATAAATAAGACAAATTTAAATGTTAATCAACAAATTAATCAAACAAAATTGCACAAGTTATCTTCATATACTCTATCCGTTTCAGTTGATGTGACAATGTTTTTTTATAAATCTTTGGTTGGGGATAAGGATCATTAGTGGATTATTCCAGTTTAGGATTTGAGATTAAATTAAATTTGATGCATGTTTGATTGGATGTATTAGAATGTCAATATTTAAATTCAGACTATAGCACCGTGGTAGGAGTGTACATGACTGGGTTGGTTCGGATTTTTCAACTATCAAACCAAACCATTTGTGTCAGATTTTTAAATCTATAAACCAAACCAATAAAATTCGGGTTTTTCAACCTCGGATTTTTTCAAATTTTTCGGATTTTTGGGTTTTTTCGGGTAAAGTATTCATACAAACATATAATTTACTTGTACTTCAAATATTTCTTTAGTTCTACCAAAATGCAACTATCTAAGGTGTTTCTTAAGAAAATAACACAAAATATGATATGAGTAATGACACTAAAATATCCAACAAAAAAATAATAATAATGAAACCGCGTAAAACAATAATATTGCAAATTAACAAGTCATACTGAAAATGATCATAATTTAAAAGTACTAAATCATGCTAAAATAAGTTTAATAAGCATTAGTTACATGACTAAATATTAAAGAAAATTAAAATTAGATTATGTAATTGAATTGTCTAAACCAATGTAAAACCAAAGAACAAATATTCAATATTATTGTCATTCTTAGTGTTGAATTGATTTTCTTTTTGCATTAGTATTAATTTAATTTTGATTTAAGCTTTATTATAATTACCAATATATATGGACTATAATCTTTATTGAACCATTTAGAATTCTAAGTTTCAAACTTGAATTAATAATATATTAAAAGATAAAAACTATGAAAAAGTATAAGAAAAATTTTAAAATTATATCAAAGTAAATATTTTTATGTATAAAATAAAATTTTAAAATTATGTATATAATGTCGTGTTGGTTTGGTCTCGGGTTGGTTTTTTTTAGTTATAAAATTTTAAAATTACATATATAAAGTTGGGTTGATTGTTTTTAGTTAAAACAAAACCAACCCAAATATAGTCGGATTTTTTTTTCAATACCAAACCAAGTCAAACCAACCACTAGTCGAGTTTTTTTTCTCGGTTTGACTCGGTTTGCGGTTTGGTTCGATTTTGTACACGCCTACACCATGGGATAAGTTATTCAGGATATAATCCCTATTTTAAACCAAATGACCCCTTAACGAGAAGGTTTTAAGGTCTACAAGTTTTATCATCATATAGATGATCTTCATTTTTAATTGAATTTCGTATAGATTTAAAGTATGTCACATAAATTGAAAACGTCAGTGATTAATATTAAAATATTATTTTGTTACTTAATATATACCTGTTTCTTGGAAGGTAAATTTTGGTGATTTTCTCTCTTGTATAAGATCCATGATGTAAAAATTATTGCTAGAGGAAATTGAACTGATG